TATACTGAACAACATACAAAGCATAATATATAAAATAACATCTACCAGAGTTTTTTCTTTGAAAGAAGCCCCTTATGTCCATTCTTGTATATCAGTACATTACTGAAACCGATTTATTTAGCCGTGGAGGGAAACAACTGAAAATATAAAATAAACACACGTAAGCTAAGACTCTCTAAAGAAACAGCATTGTTGTTGATCGGCTTTTCATTTCGCCATTTGTTGATTCACTCGAAGAGCAAATAACATAATATGGGTCAAGCGATCAGTTTGATATCAATCTGTCGTGATACACCGTCATATTTACATTTGTACAGTACGAATGATTTTCTTTGGTACCTGGTCAAACTTCAGTTCTCCTCTGTCTTCCTGGCTCCGTTTTTCCAACAGCGCACTCGCAGGCAGCAGTTCCCCTTGCCCTCTCGCTCACTGTCTGAGCTCGGATCATACATATATTAGGGGGCATTTACGCACAGTCGTAAATTCCCACAGAGTGCACTATGTACTTTGAATATTGTGTGTAGATTTTGTTTTATACAGTTGTCAGCCAGGCATCTAACTATAAAAAAATTACACTCCAAACGACCCCAGGCTTCTGGAAAAACAACCTGGTCTTAAGCCTTTGCACTAGCTGAGAGGCTATTTCTTCCTGGCAATCTGATAGGCCTCTGTCATTCTCTTACGCCACATTTCAGCATACCCCCTGTTTGACACAGGTTCAGTCTCCTCAACCAACAAAAGAACAAAAGATCAACCGGAAGGCAGGGGTGACAGCCAAAAAGCAAGAAATGTGGGGAATAGCCACATAGATAGACTCATGACGAGTACAGTTTTATACATGTACAACCTGCGGGAGATGGTCTTTCCATGTTTCCTTTTCTTTGTCTGTCAGGATACGCAACATCTGCAGCAAAGTGCGGTTGAATCGTTCTGTGGGATTACTCTGGAGGTTGTATGGGGATGTCCGAGAATGACCAACCCCTGAAAGGTGCCCAAGAGTTCAGAAGAGCTCATTTTCAAAGTCATGAAGATGTTTCAATACTAGGGGTGCAACGATACACGTATCGATATTGAACCGTTTGATACAGTACTTTCGGTTTGGTACGCATATGTATCGAACAATACAAAATACATTTTTAATTTATTTTATCAACTTTCCTTCTGACGATGCTGTCTGTGTTGAGCGCTCAGTGGATCTGCTCTCGACAGTGCAGCCTAGGCGGAGTAGTCGAACGCAGATTCACTGAGCAGGGCAAGCTAGCGAGACAGAAGTTAAGCTCTCCTTGCAACATGGCAAATTGAACCTCCCCCACCCTCATTCAGATCTGGCGTTTGTAATTATTTTGGTTTTCATGTGACGTATGACCCTGAAGGTAAGCGCGTCATGGACTAAAGTAAAACAGTATGTTGGATGTGCCACGCAATGCTCAATTACATGGGTGGGAGCTAGTGTGTTAACGCAGTTAGCTCGTTAACGTGTTGGCCGTCCAGCCCCATGCATGTGCGATCTGCGGTAGCTTGTTAACGGAGATTTGCCGTGTTGTGGCGTTAACGTCATTTCAACGAGATTTATGCTGACAGCACTAGTGGGAACACAACAAATATGACTGCACATTTACACCGACATCATCCTAGTGCAAAGACAAGTGGAAGCAGACAAAAACAA